CGACCCTATAAAGTATATATATATATGTATGTATTCTAGATCTGCATCAATAAAAAGTGGATAGATCCATTTCCGTTTGTCTGTCTGTTTTAATACGTTTGTAAGCTAGTTTAAAAGTAACGATTTGAAACTTGCAGTACAAAAACGATTGCTTAGAAACTAGCGACATGATCGGACAAAAAATCAGGCGATCGGGCGACTATATTCTAAGCTTCCGTGGGAGCTTAGGGTGATATAGGTAAAAATTGACGTTATTCAAGAATTTGCATAATTTACTTTGGTAAATTATAACATAATTATTATCTCATTTTCTACATTTAATTTATAAATCTATATAACTTCGGCTAACAAAGTCTTTAACTTGTTTTAGCTTGTTTTTACTTGTTTTAGACCTCTTCAGATATCAAAGATTTCGGATTTCCCACTAATCAATTCTTTTCATTTTGTCATATCTAATATCCCTGTACAGATCCCCGCCAGGTACTAATCACGAGCCCACTCCTAACCAAAGAATGCAGACACGCGAAGAAGATCTCAAAACAAAAACTGCAATAGACGAGAAGCAACAGGAACAAAAAAGGGAACTCGAATAAATATAAATACCATAAGAAGACGCGATAGCAGACACACAAACAGAGCGAAGAGAGTGGAGAGATAATAGTCGGGAAGGGGAGGAGGAGGAGGACAAACACGTTGCCATGTGCAACCCAAGAAAAACAAATGCGAGCAAGTTACCAGAAAGAAAAACAAAAACAGAAATAGAAACAACGAGCATTAGACCGTTCGAACGGGAACTGCTGTAAAATCGAGACCAGACTAACAACCTGCCTTGCAGCGCGCTAATTAGCCTGGCGACACCTGAAGTTAATAACGGTGCACACCTGTTGTGGGCCAGGAAATATTCAGTAACTTAAAACATAAAATTAAAATAGCATTAACCAACAAGTGTTAATAAAAAACATTCGAATAGATATTTGTTTCATGCAGTACCAAAGGAAACCCAAGCAAACTCATCCATAAAGTATTCCTACTTTTATAATCCTGTATTAACGTGGAAAATAAAAAAGTCCTTTTTATATTATTTAAATACATTACATGTACCTATAATTATGAACTGTATCATATTTTTAATTCAAAATATAACCGAACATCTCGAAAACTTCTATACCAAGTTCCAGCATTGATGATTTACGGCCCATGTAATCTGGTTAATTGAAGTGCAACTTTCTCGATGGGGAGGGACATTCACTCACTGGGTGAAAGTCGGCAACAGGTCCAGAATCCACTGGAAAGACTCAACAAGTCAACTCAATACCAACGTGGAACTCGTTTGCCCGTTAAAACTATAGTTCGCTTACATCAAGTACAAAAGATATGAATGTGACAAGTGGCTGCCAACTGTCATCGATTGCTAAATGGACTTGAGGCTTTCCCTGTGTTCATGCCGTGTGTAGATGTTCTATCATCTGCATTGGCATGCTCCACCTTTTGGGTTTTCCTACAAACTGATAAAAAACAGTTGTGACCAGTTAGATAGGGGGCACACTTATTAAGTAAGATACTCAAAGATTCCTGAATCACTGTAGGTGGTGAAATTGTTTCTATTTTTAGGACCCTAACTTGAATTTAATAGGTGTTGCCAAGACGTTCCTTTATAATATGATACCCTGAAATAACTGAAGAACATTCCTGAAATATCAGTGTAAAAACAGCTGGTTTAACAGTTAAAATCTCAGAAAAGTTATATTAAAGTATAATGGTATAAAATTGTAAAGGCAATGAAGTTGTACACATTTTTTTGAGGTTTAGTCCTATCATATATATAAAAGGTATGAATAGGTAATCATTTAAAAACTCTGTAGAACCCGATTAACCGAAGCGGATTTTAAAACAAGACTTACAATGGATAAGAACTAAAGATTAAAACACTTTTGGTGGTGAATTGTTTCTATTTTAGACCTAACTTTATTGAATAGTTGTAAGACGCTGTTGTGATACAAAGAATGAAGAACATCCAATGGTGTAGAAAGCTGGGTAGCAATTTAAATCACTAGAAAAGTTCTATAAAAGTATGTAGCAAATATTCTTCTGGTATAAAATTGTAAACATGTTTTTAAGGTTTATAATCATATCATATATATAAAATGTCTGAGTAAGTTAGTAATTAAAATAAAACTCTGTTGAACCTGATTAACCGAACCGAATTTTTAAAACAAGACTTACTTATGATATCTTTCTTGACTGCCTCCAGTGTAAAGCAAGTCAAACCACTCTTCGTAAAAATCAATACGCGAACACATTTCAAAGTCGAATAGAAAATGACCATAAATTTTTGATTGGATCGACCCGATTGAGAGCAAGGACGACTCACTTGGGAAACGTTTGTACAATGTACATATCTATATGCATTAAGCATTCAGAGAATCAATAGCAAAACGTTAACTTTAAGGAACCTGCAAGATTTCCTGCTCATTGAATTTCGCCAAGAGGGAGATAATTGTATCAAAGCCAAGCGCCAAAGATGACAACAGATCATTTATGTATATTTTGCTGCACAAGCAAGAAAATATCCATATACAACATATCATATGTATGAATCATAAATGATATATGAGTGGGGAGTTTTTTATAGCAAAGGCCTCAAGAGAGATCATTTTATTGCATTGAGTAAAACGAAATGTAATTAAATTGAGCCCAGACGGAAGGCGATATTGGCATGCAACGAATTAATTTGTCATTGTGGAGTTGAGTAAAAACTTACGCTGATAATTCTTTTGAAACTACTAAAACTTTACTGCAAATAAGTTTAGTTTTCCTTTACAACTTACGTTATACAAAATGTTAAATATTCTTAGCCACATAATATGAAAACAGTTGTTCATTAATTTTATTTGCTGGCAATTAACTTACAAAGGGCTAAGTTGATTACCTGCTTTGCCATTAAAATTCCCTACCACTTGCTTGCTATAATTAAAGAACATCGTAATATATTCAGGAATTAAAGCTGTTTCCAATCCAGTTTCTTTATTTTTAAGGCTGGAAACACTTCTCCATATTGGGTCATTTGCTTGGCCATTTAAACATGAAACGTGCAAGTTTAAGTTGAAGTTTAAACAGATCTCTAGACGGGCTCTCACTTAGGAAACCCCCCTGCGTTCAAAGCGAAACCAGTTTAACTCCGGTCAATAAATTTTGCTTCAAGATTTTTGCAACTCGTTTTTTTGTTGCCAAAACAAAACAAAACAATCCGAAAATCAAGGCTCAGATTGCGTTGACCCACATTTAATCACTTTGTAGCATAATCAAATAAATAAAGACGATATCAAAAACCATATCAATTAAGAATCAAGATGGGAATAATATTCATTTTTAATTGTCACATTAGGTAACGCCACTAATTTATTCCAATGCAAAGTTCAGCCAAATTCTTGCCTGCAATAAACGCATATATTATTTTCGGATATATCGAAATAATCTTTTCAGATCTACGTCTGCAATTGTTTTTCCTTTTGCGTCATTCCATGTCACGTGTGGGGGCGGGCCCACAAAAAGTGTATTTTCAAGGTAGCATGGAGACTATAAGCCAAATTGTGGGTAAACAAATGCTACAGAACGAAAGTGCTTGAGGTTTCTAAAAATACCTACATTGTACTGAAATTTAATGCAAGCATTTGTCTTGTTTTGGATTTTGAACTCCGAATATATAGTAATCAGTGGATCTTTGGACCCGCTGGCAGAAGAAATATGTTGACATTTAGTACACATTTTTGCTACCACATATAATAAGTTTATCGGTATTATCTATTCCATGTTCATTCATTACCGAATAGAGGTTCATTAATTTGATTTACGCTAGATCAATAAAACTTTGTTTACATACGATATCAGATAGGGGTACAACAAACGATAGGGTACATTTACTCTAATGAAAGCGCAATCAAAATGGTTAGTTAAGAGGAAGGTCACTCAATATATTATAATAACTATCCAAAACGTTAAAAGTCTTTACAGACTTAAGTTCTTGGTGCATCAAATGTATATTAGAAAAAAATCCCCGTCTCAACACTTCAGCCTGCTTCTGTCCAAATATTTAACTGAAATTTCCAGGTTCCATAAAGTCTGTTTACAATCCTCGCGCTTCTGGAAATCCCAGACTTAGCGTTATCGCACGTGTTTAAATTTGCTCTTCAATAAAAAGGTTTTCGGGCGGGTTTGCAATAAAAGTAAAGCTTTTTAAGCCTTTCCATTAATTGCCTTGAGAAACCTGGGGCACGGTAATTATTTTGCTGAATGTAAATAATTTCGTACATATTGTTATCTTTCGGTGTCGTCATTTCATTTTTCGGTCAGGTGGTTGCACAGAAACTAGAGAGGTAAAGCCAGGAAAAAGAAAGGGCGTCATTTCCGAAGATTTTGCACAAAAATGCGCTTCTTCGGTTAGATAACAGATAAGGGAAATAGAGATATCAAACCAGTACAATAATGAAAACTGGTCATGGGTTGTTAAGTGGGTGTGTAAACAGTATGACGACACTTGATAGATTAAGCACTCAACCGGCTGCTGAATAAGAGAGAAAAATGATTGGAACTGCATATAAGTAAGACATATCTTTGGAGTGGAAATATTTTTAAATTTACAACAAACCAGAAGTGACTAATTTTAAAAAACATTTTCAAAACTGATCGCATAAGCACTTTAAAATCTATAAAAAAAAGGTGTAGCACTTGATTAGCATTTTGTTTACATAACACTCTGTTACCTAACTCAAGTGGCACGCGCAAATTGAAGTCAAACCGGGTTTCTATCGGATCTCAATAGTACGTTACGAAAAGCCATTAAAAGTGCTAGGGGCTTGCAGGGCATTACACCAGGTTCAAGGTCAACGAAGAACAATTAACCGAAAATGTGAAAATCTTGCCACGTTCCCAATGTTCCAGCAGGAAATAGTAATCACCTTCCTAATCACGGGCTATTAGCATGATCAAGAAATCAAACTCACCATTTTCGTAGTTTCGGTGGCCATGGTTGATCTATATTATATAGACTGGATATATCTGAAGAATTGGTCACGCTGTTTCTTTTTTAGCACACCCGCGAGCGATTATTTCATAGTTTCCACCACCGCGACGAAAAACATATACTTATTGGTTGGCTAGACAACTTTTTATGAATATGTTGCTTAGCGTTCGACGAATAATTTGCGAATGCTAGCTACCAAAACCAAACGATTTTCTTTCGCGTTCTCCTCGCGCTCTCAACTAAGCCCTGGACAAAAGAAAATATCTGATAAGTTGTCTGTGGGCCGAGCGAGAGAGATAGAGCGCCGCGCCGACGAGCGGGCAAATGCTAGCGGTTACTCATCGAGAGAGAATGGAGTGCATACAGTGGGCCCTCGTTTTGTCGCTCGAGTATCAGCTGAAGAAATTTGGTCCAATATTTAGGAATGAGTTGCGGTGTAATGCTGTTTTTTTTTACTCCCGAAGATACGTGTTGCGAAAGACGATCTATACTTTTAGATACCTTTTTTGGATCTTCATAACTGTATTATTACAAAACCCTGTTAGGATTTCGTTTTATTTCAATCTTGGATATGTTTTCAGTAGCATTACTTTGATTCCAATATTTATTTTAAGTGGTAGTGCTGTTTTTATACTCCGACAGATACGTGTTCCGAAAGACGATCCATACTTTTAGATACCTTTTTTGGATCTTCAAAATTTATTACTGTGGAACCCGATTATTTCATTTTATTTCAATCTTGGAAATGTTTACTTTGATTCCAATATTTATGTTAAATTTAAAGGAAATGGTAAGTTTATTATAATTTGTTCGTTGCTAGAACCATTGTACGATCAAAACCGGTTTGTCTTACAGTGATCTTTACACTAGAGGAAGCATTGAAACTTGTATAAAGCTTTAAGAACATAGCTTATTAGTAATAAAACCTTAGAATCAAAATAGTCTATAGAATTTAACATATGTAATTCAATTTTACACAAGATTTTGGTGTTGCAACAGAGTTTGTGAAACCAAACACTAAAGCACAAGGGTTGTTCACCTATATTTACAATGATTGATCATAAAAGATTTGTTGCTGGCAAAATTTTAAGATATTTCGTGGTCATCTTGTATTTTCTTTTAAGAACTTGATCTAGTTAAAAAACGTGAGGTAGAAAAGTGAGTGAAGCCGAAGGCTCACTGTACATCTGGTGGGAATGTGGTCATTCGTGTTGTTGGGGTTGCCTGCAACTAGTCATGACCTTACCTCTTACAACTCTCCCATTGACCTTAAACCACTGGAGTGGCGTGCAGTAAAATAGTTTTCACCATTTCCCCTGGCTGATGAAAGTCCATTCATGGAAAACGAAATGTGACGTCACCTGCGGCGTTAGTTGTTTGTGGGGGGAATGACATTAAGATTGTTTTGTTTTACGATTTGTTTGCACTTGCTGCGGCTAGATGATGAAAACCTGGGGGGAGAATAATCTGGAAAAACACTTTATCTCATGTTTTCGACTTGGGTCCAAATTCAGAAGGGTAGCTAAGGGTAAACATTTTTCATGAAATGATATTTGCAGCACTCCGGTTTCCTAAGCTTTATAATTTTTTACCGGAAAGAAATAAATTTGTGGGGCTGGTAAACGACACCGACTTCCCCTCAGATGGAGAAAGAGAAATAATAGTAAGTATTATCAATAGAAATTTCGCAAGATAGTCTTTATAACCTGAAAGGATCTTAAATACCCAGTCCATCTTGCCGCCTCACTAACATAATGTAATTGCAAGTTGTGGGATTTATTGGTATTAGAATATCTTTAGCAAAATATTGGGGGAACTTTTCTATTTGGGGGTACTAGTTTTTCGAAATATTAAATAAATTTATTGATGTTTTCTGGAAATCATGTTTATTTGCCCAGCCCCGGATCAGCGCCTGCCGTTACCCCTTCCTCTAACATTGAGTAGATTCATCATTTTCTTAGTATGGTTGCCGCCACGAATGTACCTTGTTGGATATGTACTAATTTATTTGTACTAAACAGGGACATATATCCCAAGACTTTCTACGCATGTAAAAAGTACCTAAAAGTAGTTTACATGCGATTGTACATGAGCGCAGTGTTTGGTTTGTGTCTTGGGTTGCCAAATAGAGCTAGGTTAGTACAACCAATTTTACATAGATGGCGTTATACACATAGGTATTGCTGGCTGATGGTGCTGATCACGGAAATTAGTTATGTAGTTTGGGTCGGTCCAAAATTTAAAGCGTTAGGTGCGGTAACGATATCGAAACGACATTCAAAAAGCAAGCAAAAAATGTATAAGCTAAACCAAAGACTTATTAAATAAACCATACTTAACCTGGAATATTTTACAAAACGTTACAAGACTCCTAATAATTTCTTATAAGGTATAACGGAAAGCTTTAAGTCAACTTGAAATCAGGCGCTTTACTTAGGTAGTCAAGCAGCGCCATCTACACGCTAACTGTCTAAAGTAATTTTCCTACCTGTGCCGTACAGATGGCGCCAGTGTTTTCATAAAAATTGAAAAATTTATAAAATTAGTATGGACACAAGCCATATTTTAAAATTTCTCCGAAATTTAAAGAATCAAGCGTGGCCAGACCGAAAATATGCTGTCTCATCTTAAGGGGAAAGTTGTAAGGAAAGTGGTGAGGGGTCAAAGAGAAAGCCGAGATTGGTGTTACCAGATTAGGAAAAATATGACTCATGTTTATGAAGAGGAAAAACACATGGCGCCTTGATTCAAAAATATTTCATTTTTGAGCTTGATAAAAGTGTAGGAACAGAGAATAACGAGAATGGATAATATAAAAAATAGGAGAAAAAAAGGGGGAGAGAAAAAATGTCGCAAGTTAATAAAAAGCCATAAAAGTAACTTAAATAATAATATCACATTTCCTAACAATATTGACACCACTACCATTAAATTCAATTTTATAAACCAAGCTTAAAAATACACACTTTTCGGTGGATTATAGTTGTATATATATTATAAGAATTGCTTTTTAGTTTAAAGCACCATGCATTTGTAAACCAATAAATAAATAATCATCTAGTGGGGGACAAGTGCATTTCTTTAGGCATTTCTTTCTTAAGGCATTCTTCGAAAAGATTTAAATGTTAACTTGTTAAGTGAATCTGAAGCTATTAATCCGACCCGAATAATAAATATAAATATACGATTACACATTTTGCATGAATCTACACAAAAAGTATTTTGTTACTACAATAGTAAACAGTTGATTAATTATCAAAATAGTTATCCTAAAGTAAAATCTTTCACACAAATGTATGCAACAATAACTTTTTGAATTTTCTAGACCTAGACTCCCAAGCCAAACTCTGAAAAGTTAAGACTTTACTTAAAACATATATTCACCAAAGTCTTTAACATATTTCCACAATAGCGGAAGTCACTTTTAAAAATTGCAATTTGAAAACTTCTTTTTTTATTTAGCTTTTAAATTGTCATGTCAACTTGACATATCTATGCATTGAATTTTTAAATCTCAATTTAACAGGTGTTACTATAAAATAATTGGATAACTATATGGGTCACTCTACCCTTTTTTACATAACTTTTTTTTTATAGTAACCCTTACGTTTTCGTGTTACGTAAGAGTAACTGTTTGATGGGTCAATTCAATGGTTGGGGACCGTTTTACAATTATATTGGTCAGTTTTACCAATCAATTTTTTGTGTGTACCTTTAGAAAAATTATATACGTAGGTATTGGGACTTTAATTGACAAAATATGGGCAAACTTATTCTGAATCTTTGAAAATAAGAACAGGACTTTTCTTACATTTCTTGTGGGCAGCTACAGATATATACTCGTATTTCACATAAGAAACTATATTTCTTATGTCAGGTATTAAAATTTGTATTAATTTAGAGGGATAAACAGCACAGAAGGCAAAACGAAAGTCAGTCGTGTTTTTAATTGTTCCTCAGGATCATACTTTGCATTTTTTAGCTACTTGACTACATGAAATAGCATCCTTCAATTGGTAATCAACGGTAACTCCCCCGCCAATAATTACCATCGGAAACGGATCTACAAATTGTGAAAATTTCATTAACAGGCCGTATTAAATTTCACAGAAGGGAGAACAAAGCGGAAGTAAATTTCATTATTTTGATTTGAACGAGATCCATCTTCCGCCAAGTCATCGCCGTCATTACGACCGTGATCATGATGAGCAAGCTGGCATGGATCAGCGCAGCCGCAGCGACCGTTAACACCCATTGCAGTTTCCAGAGGAGGTTTTAGAGGGAACTTCCCGTAACCCCAAATCGCAACCCTATAACTAGCACATAGTATATACCATACCATACCATACCATACCATACGCTGCAGTTGCGCGCCGAGCTGTCAGACGATGATTGCGAGGATTCTGCATTGTGTGTTTTTTGTGCCCCTTCGACGATTTCGGGCCAGGATAACGAACTCCAGAGTCCGGATCGAAAACCAAAACCCTCTCTCCGTCTACCCTTTTCACGGCATTGAATTTCCCCCTTTTATTTTTTAGGCTGTCTAGCATTTGTTTTTGTTTTGTCCTCAGCGAGATTTTTTTAGCAGCGGGTTGAACGATTTTTTGCGCAGCTGCTCGGGGTTTTACGGTTTTGTGAATCGCTGTAAGTTGATCGCCACTTGATGAGAAACCACTCCAGTTTCGACTCCGATCGAAGTGTAGGTGTTGGAGATCAATAAAGGAAAACTTAACTGCGGGTTTCCTCCGAAATTAGCTTTCTGGCGTTACAGAGCAGTTAAGAAAATATGGCACCCAAAAGGGGTTTCAGTGCTATCCAACTTTTGTCTACTCATCCCCCTTTTTAGGGAAAAAAATAAAGAACCAGGGGAAGTGTTCAAAAAACCGTAAGTAATTGCTGGGATATGCGTGCAAATATTTTCTATTTTTGCCCAAAAAACCCTAACCATTTTTTTACAGTTTTCGCTAACCCTCCCCTCGTTTGCAATTAAAAAAGCAAAAAATCCATAGAAAGCCGAGGACTATTTGGGTTCGGGTTCACTGTGCAAAAAGGCTAGATGAGGAGCGTGATTGTGCAATGATCGGGAAAAAGAAATCTGAACTTAATGCACTCTGCCCGGGGAGATAGAAAAATTGCTTGATTGAGTGACGGTCTATGTGGAGCAGATGATATATGTT